AACACCCTCGCGATAAGGATGATTCATGTGATGAACGCCGTAGCAAAACCTTGGCTGCCCTTGGAATATGGCAATGTGTCACAATCCCAGTCATGGGAGCTCATTCGTTGATGGCAATTCGTCAAAGAGCCATTCCGAATTAGCATCTGGCATCTATGGGCATTCCCCAAGTCCGATGCTGTGTTGTGGAGGGGCCGTAGGGGTTGTACTAGGTTAGGGAATAATAGCCTTTGTGGCTTGTCCTAAATGCGAGCTTTCCAGCTGTATCAAAAAATGACCGCGGCCGTATTGTCACAATGAAATTGTTTCATCCATCACGAATATCGAGGGCATTCGGAGGAGGTCCTTCTCTAGGTACTAATGCCGGTGCAATAAGGCTGAGCTCCTGTAGTGTCCTGAGTTGGCTATGATCGACAGGTTCTTGCCTGCTGAAATGACAGAAGCAAAGACTCGTAAAGATCTGTCTTGTCATTAAACGAGATCAGAGCCGCAATATGCAGGGGATCGGATCGATCATCGACCTCTCCTCAGCTGAGCAGGTATTTTGAGCAAACAGCTAGTTTTGGCTGGTCACTCATCCAATTCAAGGCGACAGCAAAATTTTGCAACTTGTCTTATCATAGCCCAGCTTCTAGCAAGAGCGGCTAATGAGCAATTGATCATCCAAGTGCGCCGGTTATTGCTGGCTACTAATACCTTGGTAATCAAATTGACATCCTTGCCCTTGGGACAGAGCTCTGGAGACTGCTGAACCGAAACGAATTATGATGACTTTACCTGCAGGCACCCTTACTTGGATCTTCGCAAACTGTCAAGAAGTTGCTTCTGCCTGGAGGAGAAAAGACTGATGTGTTATTTTTGCTGTCCTGCTTTGATCTATCTCGCTGGGATATTGATATGGCTTACCATGAATGAATGTCAACAAGCTCCCACTCAACAACAGGACGAAGCAATCCACAGTCAAACTAGTGCTTTGGTGACAACATTAGGCCATACCGAAAGAGGGTGTGGAGTTAATAAACAAGCACATCGATCAATCCAGCAGTTCAGTGTCCGTCCCTGGCGTCAATCCGGTAAGTTTGCTTCTTATGAAGTAAATTATAATTAATGCAGGTACGGAGGCCGCGAGACATTTAGCTACCATGCGCAGCTGTTCTGTTTCGCACCCGAGATTCTGCAGGCGAGTAAAATGCTGTCGAGCTGGATTTCTATCGGAGAGGTCGAGACATGGCTGATGAAAGTCTCCGAATAAAACGACGGATCTCAAGATTCAGCAAGGGATGATCCATGGGGCTGTCTGTGGGCTGCCCGAGACAAGGGTGATGCCACCCATGCAATACATGCTCAGTGATCCCCCCAACGGCGGAGCTAGTCTTGAACTTGACAGAGATGGCCGCTGGTGTCTGGCTAGGTACTGATTAACAAGAGCGAAAATGATGGGATAGAGAGCAATCCGGGTCACCAAGTGTACGAGTTCATCATCATTCGTCATTATGCTGAAGCGGGCCCTTGTGAAGTCTTGGCTTGAGTTGAGAATCTCTTTGACGCTTGCGGGTTGAAAAGAGAACAAATCAGAAGTCGTATTCAGGCTGAACTGTACCTATAAAAGAACAGTGGTAAAACCTACGATCGAATGTCTTGGTGTCTTGGTCGTACCTGCCAGACCCACAGGAGCATAGAAAGAATTCACAACGGGCAATTAGCTTTTGAGTTGTCATTGAACCTGCCACCTACGTAAGCAACTCGGGAGTTGTTTTGAAAGAATCTTCTATGAAATGAACGCAAATACGAAGGAGTTACATAGCATGAACCGGCAAGTCACTACTTCCCTGTAAGGTAGTTTATACTTTGAAATGGTCCCATTCATTGTGGCACTGATTGGAAACTTGGCTCAGCCTACGTGTTTTTCAAGGGCCCTTTAATTTGAACAAACCAGACTCTCTGACCCATTGCCAGTAGCTCACCTGCTTCATTGGACAAGAGCTGAAGACACCAAAGAGACACCCACAACACAAGGTTCTAACTGGGGTGATATTGACGTACAGAAGCAAGAGATCAGCCTGATCATCGTTCGCTATTTCCACAAGCTCACAGTGCTCTGATACTGTGTTTGTGATGACCTTTCGGACGAGCACGATTGCCTTGTTTGAATTGCAGGTAGCAAATGAGGAGTCTAAAGAAGGTGCAACGTGACCAGAATCTTATATTTCGCCAAGAAACTGCTTCTGATCGGCAGTTAAAGCTTCTTTTACTGTCGAGGTGCAGAGCATAGAACCTAGAGAGGGTGATGAGCTCCACAAACCAAACTTTGAGCTCACTGTACCCCGGTAATTCAATCACGGCAATTGGAGAAACAAGCGGAACCCTCGGTCCATCTCCACCCCCATATTTACACGAATGCGTCCACTTCTGGTTGCTCGTGCTGATAGTCTCCAAACATGTCGACGACTTGACGATACTGTTTTGGAAGAAGCCGATCCAGTCAAACCCGTCGATTTGTCTCCGAGGAAAAGATTTTCCCACTGGGCGTTTTTGTCCATGCGAAGCTTCTCGCCGCCCGTCACGATTGAATCACGAGTGTTTGTCACCTCCGCCAGAACCAGAGGGTGGGTGCTGTCGCCGCTCCACTGTGCTGTCCCTCAGCCAAGCTCACTCCCCTGATCGGTACTCCATCTCTTCAAGATGCCTCTGGGGATCCTCGAAGCAAAGGGGATCGAGCATGTTCCTGGTGCGTATTTGGCGTCACCTCCATATGCCAATATGGAGCACATGGCCTTCCATCGCCGATAGCAGAACACACACTTTTCAGGACATGACCAATTGACAGATCGCCCAATCCCATAGGCACAACGCAGTACTTTGACGATCCGTCTCGACCCCAGATAGCTGGCGAGCATCATGGAAACCTCAAGCGCGTACAAGTTGGGACCGAAACCATTATCCTCGTATGTATTGTCTGCCTTTGGGCTTGTTGCGCGTACGCTGACGTTGGCATGAACCTCAGATCCCTCAGCCTTCTGATGACCCAAACGATCCGCTGAACTGGTCGCTTTTGCGCCGCGACCTGATTACCTTTCTACTCTGCTTCGCGGGTATTCTTGCTACCGCACTCGGCCCTATCCTCGCTGCCAATACGATTACAATATCTCTGCTCTTCTCAAAAGACTTCACAAAAGTTGCCCTGTTGACTGGATATTTCCTACTGGGTTGCGGCGCTGGTGCTATTTTCTTCGTTCCGTCCGGCCGCATCTGGGGAAAGCGACACTTGTTCCTCATAGGTATCCTCATTCTTATCGCCTCCAGCGCGTGGGCCGGGTCTGTAGGAACCAATTATGGAAGTTTCATTGGAGCCAGAATTGTTCAAGGTGTTGGTTGCGCACCCTATGAGAGCTTGCTCAATGCAGCTGTGGGTGACCTCTACTTTGTCCACCAGCGAGGTGTGAGAATGGCCTTCACGAACCTGGCGGTCTTCGGTGGTGCCTTCTTCACTCCCATCTTGGTGGGTAAAATTACTGATTCCATGGGATGGAAGTGGACGTTCTACTTCGTTGCCATCTTTCTTGCTGCTACGCTCCCGGCCATTTTCTTCTTCTGCCCTGAGACGGCATATCGACGAGAAGCCAGCCTGAACACTGACACAACCGGTGAGCTAGGAATAGAATTGACTACCAAGGATAAACGTCAAACGTCGTCACCACAGGCAGAGTCCGGATCTTCTCATTCTCCAGAACTGACACAGCACTCGGCTGGTTTCACCTTCTTGCCTAAGTCCAATGCTCTTCAACCAATCGGCCATTCTAATACACCTAAGAAGACCTTTCTTCAGTCGATTTCTCTGTTCGATGGCCGGAAGACGGACGAGCGATACTGGGTCCTTTTGTTGCGACCATTTCCCCTCCTCACTCATCCAGCATTTATCTGGGGCTGCCTGATCCAGGGAGCCATGATCGGCTGGACAGTATTTATCGGAGTTATTGTCGCCGCCATTTTCATAGGGTCTCCTTACTACTGGGATGAGGTTGATGCCGGCTACACTTACACGGGCCCATTCATCGGTGCCGTCCTAGGTTTTGTCCTGGCCGGTCTGCTCGCTGACACAAGCGTCAAGTACATGACCAAGCTCAACAAAGGCGTGTACGAACCAGAGTTTCGCATTCTTCTTGTGATCCCCATGATGATCATTGGAGGAATCGGATTATATGGGTTCGCCTTGACGGCACCTGGTGTGATAAATAAGCAATACTCATATGTCATACCTCTGATGTTTTTCGGGTTTGAAGTCGCGGGGATGGTCATTGGTGCTGTGGCCAGCTCACTTTACATTGTTGATGCCTATCGTATGTTTCTCTGCTCATATAAACAGCTGTCGCTAACATCGTGGCAGGGGATTTGACCATTGAGGGCTTCACCATCATGATCATATTCAAGAACTTTTTCAGTTTCATCTTGACTTTCTTTGCCTACGATTGGATTAATCAGGGTGGTATCGAACGAACAATGCTGGCGATCGCCTCAATTCAAGTGGTGGTGTGCCTTCTCAGCATCCCTATGTGTAAGTCGGTTTCCATCGCACGTTGGTTCTTATGCTGACTTGCTATAGACATCTACGGTAAACGGGTGCGGGCATTCTACTATCGCCATGATTTGCTTGATATGACTGGTCTTCGCTAGCTATTTAAACAATTTCGAGGAATTAAGATGCTCGAGATATCATGAGTTGGGCAAAAGCAACAGATGCGTTTCTAGAGTACCCAGGGTTGGGGTTTTTTAATGTTTATTTCCTGTTAGACTTCATAGGGGGGCATGACACGATTCTTGGATATCATTATTAGATCATAGCCATGAGAGTTCAGCAATATTGTCTTAAAATACAACATGGCACATCAATTCGTTGCGTAATGGCTATTCTGGTATCTGAAAGCGAAAAATCATAGCATCGCATGGGTCATACATATTCTGACCAAGAAACATTTACTTTCCCACTACCCATCATTTCATATTCACGCCTTGACCGCTCCGGCCTGAGATGCGCCAGCAGCTGCAAGCGTCGACTTCTTGACAAGACGCAGGCCGCCAAGCAGAATAAAGGCAGCCTGGACACCCAAAATGACAATGAGGGTAACAAGGGCGCCAATGACGCCAGCAACCGGCTTCGAAACACCGTTGCCAGAGCCGCCAGAGCTTGATTGGGGCGAAGTAGAGGCATCATCCGAGCTACTAGCACAGTTGCCGTCGTTGTTTCCGCAGAGCTTGCACCAGTGCTTGGTGTCCTCGATGGCAAAGTCAGACATGCCAGTCTTGAAGTCCTTCCAGGAGATGGTGGTCTCATCCTTGCCGAAGAGAGGGAACATCTTCGGGGTGTGTTGAGCAGCAGTGCCGTTGGCAAAGTAGAAGCGGACACTGACGTCGTCGGCAGTAGGGTTGGTGGCGTTGGTTACGAGCTCAAAAGCCATAGATGAGGCATAGTCGACGACTCCCTTGAAGTCAGAGCTGACCTTGTCGAGGCCAGCAAGACCAAAGAAAGACATGAAGGCGGCGTAGGCACCGAACTGAATGTTGACCTTGGGTCCCTTCTTACCCTCTGCAAGGGGCTCAAGAGCCTCAATGATCTGGCCAGCGAGCACAGAGCCAGCAATGGCACGGACAGGCTCGCTGCTGTTGTAAGCGAGGTTCCACTCATGGATAGAAGCGAGATTGTAGAGCTTTTCCAGGGTGGGCTCATCGAGCAGATCATCAGAAGAGATGCTAGAATTGTGAATGCGAGCAACATTGATGAGATCAAAGACTATGCGAGTTAACGGGGGGTCTATGTGCTTGAGATTTATCACTGCTTACTGGTATAGGCATTCTGGAAGTTGGCCTCATCCTTGCCGTATGTCCCATTGATGACAGGCAGAAGGCCCTGATAAAAGCTTTCAGAGTCCTTGTATACTCCAGCGTACTCGGAGGAGGAGAAGTAATCATTCGAGCTGGCCTCCGCGTTGGTGCAACCACTGTTGCCCTGAAGCCAGGCACTGTTCTCAGAGTTCTTGTCGCTGGCTGCAGTCTCTACTGAAGCAATGGGAATGTACTGATATCCGCTCAAAGGAGCCTCAACCTTGGATCCATTGGCAAGAGTCTCAAACTGCTTAGTGGGAGGGTAAAGTCCCTGCAAGAATACAAGAGCAGAGTTCTGAAGCACAGCATCGACGGGGGAAGTAACATCTAGCTGAGACAAGACGGCTGACTCGGGGCTGAGGCCGGTGATCTTTCGTGAAGCATCCTTGCTCACATAAGTATCGCGATACCAAGAACCGGAAGAGTGAACCTCGTCGGCTCCGAGAGCTGTGAAGTTTACGGGCTTCCAGGCCTTGGCAGTGCGATCACCGTGACGGTGGAAGACGTAAAGGCCAAGGACATCTTCGGTAGCAGCCAAGGAGGGAAGGGAAGATAGAAAGAGGAGAGAGAGGGGCTTGGCGTGCATCTTGGTTGTGTGGGACGTTGAATGAAGCTATACACACTTACTCGCAGCCACTGTTGACGACAAAGGGGAAAGGAAGAAAAGAGAAACTGCCAGGAGAGAATGAGGAGAGGGTAAAATATATATTCCTCATCATTACCTATTACAGCAAGATAACGTACGTTACTCATAAGAGTCAAAAGATATGGTATTGTAGGTAATTCCCCGCCCTGTTCGGCTCTGAGCGTGCCGTGTAGCTGCAAGGTTATGCATAGTTCCCACACAATGGATCTCTCCGGGTCAAGGTTGATTCTCTAGTTGAGCTAATTGAATCCTCTTGGGCCCTCTTATTTCTGGATAGTCATACCTAGATAGGAAACTCTCTTCACACCACAATCATGATGATTTTGCAGGCCGAGCTTATTTTTCTCCAATGTTTTGGGCTGAGAGTGTCGAGTTCATAGACAACGAGAGAATGAGATGTCTACATCCGAGGAATTGATGATTACCAGTCGATATAGGTCATGTTACTCAGCCTTGTCTGTCAATTGCACGATTAGCCCGCACCATGCAGCAACGAAAAGCTCATGAGAGCTCAAAAGCAACCCCTCCTTCACTAACCTTGCCCTAGCGGACACTAATGCAAGCCCACACCAACTTATCAGCCTGTCTCTGTAATCTGATAAACAGCCACAATTGGGGTTTTTCTTACAGGCACTTTTGCCCAAGAGTGGGAGAGACTCGCAACGGCCGTCGGAGGCAATTTTATTGGCTGTCGGCCGGGTCGCGGCTCTAACGGGGTCGATTATGCCGTACTATCCCCGGCTCTTCGTTCAGGGATCGAATCCGTGAAATGGCATGTGGTATTTTGCGTGGGTTTCGGGCTCTTTTTCGGAATGGAGAATATGGGGTTCAAGGGGCATTTCCTTGTCAAGTAACTGTGCTGTATAGAATAAGCATATAATGTGCCATGCAGGTGGATCAAAAGGCGTAAGCCCAGCAATTCTGGTCTTGAGAAGCAAACAGTCTGTCGTACTTGGAGTGCAGTTATTCTTGTCAGATATTTAGCAAAACATCATCATGGAGAGGCTAAGGTCGACTCCATCAGACCATCCACTTCCGGAGATGTCAACGCCAAGGCGGATCCCCAGTTGGATGTTATCTATCATCCCCGAACAAGTATCTCCGTCACTTCCGATCCCCGGGTCTCAGGTCCAGCTGATAAGATAACCTGATGCAAGCAAACACTTGATCTGATATTGCAAAGCTGTAACTTAGGTTATATAATATATGATATCGCCTCATGATACTCCATATCTGCCTCGTCAAATGGTAATTTTGGAGCTTGAACCATGTCGTACAACAGCCAGTATCCTTACAACTTGGCCTTTCCGTTCTTTCTTGGATCTCGCAGGTTCTTTGAGAACTCTCCGTTGAGGATATAATCCGGGTACTCCATGCCAGCCTCCGTTCCCACGCCGATGGCTCCCTGGCGTCTCCATGCAGCACCATCAACAGCTAGGACTTGTCCACTGACATAGCTTCCGGCGTCGCTGAACAAAAAGACTGTCGCATCTGCGATATCTCGTACAGTTCCAGCGCGGCCCAGCGGGATACCCTTGGCGTATCTCTTCTTCTCGCTTTCCGCATCGCTCCCCAATCTGGCCAGACCCTCAGTGCCATCAATACCTCCTGGGGCAATCACGTTGCTTGTCACCCCTCTTGGTCCATACTCCAGGGCGACGGACGCCATGAGTGAGTCAATAGATGCTTTAGCCGCAGAGACGTGTGCCTGGAGAGGCATGCCGGTGTAATGGAAAGTGGCAGAGACGTAGATGATACGAGGGGTTGAGCTCTCCAGGAGATGGGGCATTGTCGCCTTGATTGTGTTGAATGTTCCCAAGACATCGATGTCCATTACCGTCTTGAATGCATTGGAGCTGAGGCCTTCAATGGGAGCGACAAAGTTGCCAGCTGCACCAGCGCTATGACATGCATTAGTATGTTGCATCCAGGCATAGTCAAATTGAAGCCTTACATGACATAGTCGATCCCTCCAAGCTCTTTCGCACATCGCTCAGCAGCAGCCTGAAGACTGTCGATCTACACAGTCAATATCATCATAACCGTCGTCAATAAACGACAGGCGTCATACCTTTCGAACATCACACCCACCAATTCCTATCACCTTGGCTCCCTCTCTGACACTCGCGATGTCTTTGGCCGCTAGCTCTGTCTTCTCGACACTTCGACCAACGATGCATGCATTTGCACCCAGGCGAACTAATGCTCGCGTCTGCATGCTGCAGATGCTTCCTGCGCCGCCAGTCACAAAGACAACGCGACCATCTAAACGGTTTCATATGTTAGCAAATCTCTGCCAAGAATAGATTAGATGGTCTTGAGACTGACTGAAGATCCCATCCCGCCAGACGGGGCTGAGATACTCAGGCTCGGGAACGGGCATTGTGATTCGATTAATATCAGCACGCGGCTTAAGGATCCTTCAGGTGACGCAAATACTAGCTCACTAGCAGTTGCTAATAGAATTATGTCGAAGGAGGTCAATTGTATGTTTAAGATAATCTGGAGAATTGATTAAATGAATGACCCCTCGGCTGAAATCAAGAAGGTTCAGGAGCCGTTATGCCTCGGCTTGGAGTGGGGCCCTTATCAAAAACAACCACATGGAATCTGGGGTTGTTCTCCACTAATCCTCCGACCGCTCTCGGCCGAGTTGAAAGGCCTGGGCCGTTTACCACATGGCATGGAAAATATGGTCATCATATCAACGGATTCACTGCCTCTGCATAAAATTAAGCAGGTCGCTCGGTGTCATCATCCATTATTCATATCTACCAAAGGCATTGCAGTACCTCGGCTCGGTACTTGCGATAATGAAGGGACGCCATACTAGACAGCATGAAACTCAGCATGTGAAGCCGGGATGGAAGCCTTTTGTTCCACAGAGAAACAGGCCCAATCCAGCATTCCAGTGTCATGGTTATATCAATGTCAGGCAGGATACACATGTAACTCGCGTTGTCTGCGCAAAGGACATGGTGTTAGGAGCTGTGCAAGAGGCGTCATAGACTCTTCTGTGCCATTGTGCACATAAGTGACTTGAAACTAGTAAGACGGCTTCCACTGCACTACTATGCACTTGGCTCCTCGTAATTTAAGCTTCATGCCTAGTTCCCGCAGACTGCAGTGCTGCCCACAAAACGAACAAAGCCAGGTTTGTGCATAGCCCCCACATCCATGCTCCATAATCGCCTTTAGTGTTCCAAGAATCAGGAGAATTTGTAACGAGATTGCCCTGACCGTGTTAAAAGCTCAAAGGCCTCAAGAGCGGAAGTTATTAGTGTGGTTTGTGGCTATCCGAAGGACGTCCCCAATCCACCGTCGACCCATAACGCCTCGCAAACCAATGTCAAAGTGGAATAGTCAGGGGCCAACTGAAACATCCACAGATAGCGAACATCGAAGGCATATACGCGTAAGCAGTTTTCACTCGGAACTGCGTAAAGCTACCGACTTGTTCTTCTATAAACTCCTGGATCTAGTTAAGCATCGGAATGTCCTAACAGCCATGGCTTCGTCTCAGGTCTAAGCGCGGGGAGTGAGATGACACTCGGTCAACCAAGCAGGGATGAACGTGGCAGATCTCGCTTACCTACTCTCAGCTGCATCATACGGGCCCTGTTGTCTCTCTTCTCCTCAATCTCAGGTCATTGGCCATAATATTCCGCCTCACCAGCCTGTCAAACGGTTACCGGTACATCCCGCGCGGCATGCGCCTCGAGGGCTCGCACAGGCGCGCTTATTCCCCCCTCATTCCCCGCAGCATCAACTTTATACCCGGCCAAACTCCATATTAACTCTGATCTTTGCCCTTTTACTTGCATATTATCTCTTACCTCAGCCGTATGTTGACCAAGATCAGTGGGGTTAAGGGACTCGATTGCCGTAAGCGAGCTGTCAGAGCCTAAAGAAGATGGTGGGATGGCAACCTACCCAGTACGTCTCACTAGCATAGCATAGCGCATTCCGTCACCCGTCGTGACAGTTCCGATGTCAATGGCAATGTAACCACGCAGTAGAAACACCGACGATATCCCTGCTTATTTGGTGATAACCGGAGTGCTGCATCTTCCGAATCTGCGAGGTAAGCCATGCTTGGTAAGGCATATCAGCCACAATATATGCTAACGGCAGCCTACAGAACCAGCTGACAGTAGCTCTATGGTAGCCATGAACAGAGTCCTTCATCTTTCGAGCGCTAAATACGAGCCGATATAAGCCTAAGAGTGGTAAAATATGTAGCAATATGCATTTCATGTCAATCATAGTACCGTTCAACGGCGTGGGTTCCGCTCGCTCAATGATCAATACCTAAAAAGCTAAGGCCGCGTCTGCCACACATATAATTTCGCATTCAGTGACCATAGATTTCTTTTTAATTATTTCCATAACGCCAATCTAGTGCATAATTCCCGTGTACCAATACAAACGCGTCGCTAGGGGTTCAGCTCGAGGTTCAACTTTCAAATCTGGCTGGATAATGTTTTTGGTTCGCTTGCCTCTGTCGCTTTTCATAAATGCTGCCGATAAAATCGCATGTTGCTTCCCTTTCCTAGTTGATAGCGTAGCTGCTACTTTTTCTTCTCGTTTAAGCCCCTATGGGAGGCTCAGAATCCTGCGCTTGTACTCTCGAGTTCGTAGCCCTGCTTCGATTGAATGGAAAGAAACATCAGCTTGGTGCCTTGAATTCCATACAGGCTTCAAACCAGGCTGCCAATTTTGCAATTCCATATCGACGAAGAATATGAAATTCGTTGGCCATGGTGAGTACGACAAGGTTGTTTCTGCAGTGTTCTTTCTGATCATGTCGAGTCTAACATCAACCGCAGTTTTTGGTTTCACCCACAACACAATGGGCAGCTTTCCGGGAGAACGATATAGCGTTCGTGAGGACCCTTGGGGCAGGCATGTTTGCGACTTCCATCTATAGAAGTTTTGCA